TTTCCAGAAAAAAATTCTCCTCATTTTCTGGCATTTGGTTCGCTTAAAAACAAATGAGTCAATGGAAAATATTGTCCTAATCAACAGACAACCTATGCTTTTAATTTACGAAAAATGATTTACTCTTTAAAAAATCGAAAATCATTTTTCAAAATATGACTAAATATTGGCGCTTGATTTGAGATTCTACACTTGGGTGCGGAAGCTCCAACACTAATTCTAGGTTGCCGACGTCCAGGATCAGGCCTTCAATGCCTGGGCGCAGGTCTTCGAGGCTAGGCTCGTGACCCTGAATTCGGTGCTCGGATCCCCAGCGCCCTTGTCCAGGTCCATCGAGGCCGGGCCTGAAGCTCTAGTGCTCCCACCTGATGCCTTAGCACCTGGGCCCGGGTCCATCGAGGCTAGGCTCGAGACCCCGGTGCCCGAGCTCGGGTCTATCGAGGCTAAGCCCGAGACCCAGGTGCCTGTGCTTTGATCCTGACGCTTGGACGGGGTCCACCGAGGCCAGACCTGAGACTCTAGTGCCCATACCCAATTCTCTGGCTGCTCATGCACAATTTATTAGTGTCTGAATAGTGTATATCTATTATTAATCATATTTTCCATATCAAATGACGGAAAATATTTTTCAGTTCATTTTCAAATTTCAATCAAAAACCAAAAAATATTGTCATATTTCCTGGAAAATATTTTTCAAATCACATTTTTCGCGAAATAAATAGAGCCCTAATCCATGAAATCACCATACGATTACAAGGCAGCGTGTGAGTCAGAGCGTCATGCATTTTTACATATTTATTCATGCACATGGCCTAATTTTATTATCAATGTTCATAATTAATCAACATGGTATACATCATTGTTTAATTGCAATCGATATATGAAATCAAATCCAGTCATATTCAGACAGCGTGCAAAGCATTCAAATTCACGATTTTCATTTCACGACATAATTTCAAAATGTGAATGCAATTTTGAAATGATAGAGCCGGTTTGGTCAAATCAAATTCAAATTTATATTTTTCTACATATACATATAAAAGCAGCCACACATATGGAGCCTCAATAACCCGACTCTATCCCTCCTCGATCATCTCGGTACCAAAACCTAAGTTTTTTTTTTCAAAAGTTCGGCTTATTCAAAAGGAGTAATATCACGAAAAACCCCAAATTGGTATACAAGTAATAAATTTACGATCCGTTAATTTCCGTTAAATTGGATTAATACCACGAAAAATCACAAACTAGTAGGTAAAACCCCAAACTGGTACACCCGTCAACTGCCACATGTTATCGAACTTAGCAGTTTGACGGTAAAATTTAACGAAAACTAACAGAGGGAAAATTTGTCATAGATGTACCGGTTTAGGGTTTTTTGTGGTCAAAAAATTAGTTTTGGGTAAATTTGTTATAAGTGTACCAATTTGGAGTTTTTCATAGTATTAATCCTATTTAAAAAGGGTTTCCTATAGATCCATATATTTCAACAGAATGACGATCTATTTTTCATTAAAATTAATTTTTCTAAACCGACAATATAACAAGTATACAACTCAAATTCCAAGGCTAATTTTAGCTTTGCAACAGCTGATCCGAAACAAAAGAGGGTTTCAGACTTTACCCGGTCGTCTGGCATTCCTCGCGCTCCTCGGATCTTCCTCGCTCACCGGGATTCCCTCGGGAATTAAGAGAAAACAAGTTAGTAATAAGCTCGAAATAAATTTTCCAAGAATGAGCAAGAGAGGAATCAAACCTTTCACAAAAATGAGAAATTTGAAGCTTATTTTAAAAGCAGATCTAGCCTCGAAAGGAAAACGATGCACTTCATAAGGGAAATGTGCATGCCATAAGGCAAACAAATGATGTGAAATGCGCCCAAAACCATGATGCACAAGGGAGGAGGAAGAAGGCGGATATTGAACAGCTCGTTTCAGCGCGGCTTGGGCTTGGGAACGGCCTAAGTCCGGGCGGTAGCGTGCGCGTTGCCTACCCGGGTAGGCCACGGCCCGGGCCCGTGTGTCCTCGTGCGGGCCCTCGTCGTCGCCGCGCCGGGTCAATGTTGCAAGTGACGTGTGGTGGCTGCTGACCAATCGACCATCGCCGACGGTGGCGGCGATGACTTCGTCATTTTATGAAAAAATTTGAAAATATATTTTTCTTGAATTTTGACCAAAACTTTAACTAATCACAACTTTTCAATCGGACAGCCAATTGATCCGATTTTTGCGCCCTCGGAAAGCTTGCGACATGCACTTTCTAGAAAATGTGACCGATTACAGAAAAAGTGTTGGGACCGTGGATTTCCAAAAATCGGGCAAAATGTACGGCCAAGGTAAAAAGTTCCAATATTTCCATTGAGAAAACTCGAATGGAAGTGATTTTCAGAGCGTTGGAAAGCCCATGACCATATCTTGGTGATCTCATCACCCGCTCTACCAAAATCGGGATTTTCCCAATTCCCTCGAGATCGGACGGTTCCAATTAAAAGTCGTGACGTCTAGCGATCTGGTCATTTGATTTGATCAATTTAAGTCGTGGTTGGAAAAATTCTCGCGGAGCAAGATCACAACCCCATTATACCCTTCAATCAATTTTTTGTATGAGGTTGACTTTCGGTCAAACCCTAAACCAAAATTAGGTGTCTACACATTTTTGCATTATGTATTTTGCTTTGAATATTTGGCTCAAGTTCCGTCTTTCGAATCTATTGCACGCATCGATCACTGGACAAATAGAAAAAAATGATATAAATGAAGCTGTGACCTTAATTTTTATAACTTTAAAGATACGTTGCAAGTTGAAGAGTTTCTATTATAATCTTGAAGTAATAGGATTGTCTATCCTCTTTAATTTCCGTATAAGTGAAAACAAGAAATCGATTCACTACTTGGTAGTGAAGGTTAGGGAAAAGGGTAGTCCATGATGGCTCTTCTAATGAAGGTTAGGAAGTGCTATTTGGTCAAGAAAAGGATGATGAACGATAGTGAAGCGGCTAGAACAGACACACCAGAAAAGGTGATGTGGTTGTGCATGGCTTTGCTTTTCCTCTCAGATCTTTCTATGTGAATGTCCGATCACAGAGTTACAAAGAACATCTAGGCATTTATGAATAACTCCCAGGGTTGCTAATACTCTAAGATAGAGATGAATGCTAAATGTACTTCATAAAAAGGAATGACTAGACGAAATGGCCCGACGCTGTGAGCCGGTCCGATAATGAACCAAGCAAGTCGCCGAACCACATTCATAGAACCAATTTGGAAAACTCATTTGTTTCCAAATCTTAGAAAATCGATTTTTATAAACTCCCACAGATCTAGAATCCAAGAAGATCCCTGATTCTCTAGGCGCTGCAAGGTTGATACTTTGGTTGATGTGATCGTCATGAAAAAAAGGCTCATTGATCACGATTCTTTTTTTTTTTTTTGGTCTGGTAAAAGAAAACGGACATGATCATTCATCAGAAAAGCCAAATCCCCTTTGTCATTTTGCTTAATTGGCAATTTTAGAGAGTTTCTCCTCTTCATCTCTCCCGTTCATGATCTCATTAAATATCTTCATAACCCCTTATGCACCATTTCGTCATCCTATTCGTAACTTCATTTGATTTAGGTAATAAATTTTTTCAATCCATGTAGAAAAGAATATTTTGGATATATAATGCAAGGAAAAAACATATCGTGACATTAAAAATATATATATCTACGGTATTGAGCATCTCATATATTCATTTAAATGTTTATTTATTCAAAATGTCATGTATCGATTAATATTTATATAAGTAAAGTTTTTATACATAAATTCCGGGTAACACGCCAACGTAACCCTAGATTTAGTATATTCGGGAATAATCCCCAAAATGAAGCAGGGAAGCATGCAAAAGAACGAAATAGGGGGAAAATTATCCTAAACCTATTGATTTTTTGTTAATTCAGTTCTAAACTTTTTAATTTTGCCCTTGCCTGAGGCCGGTGGTTGTCAGCCATCAACAAGGCCCAATGATGGCCAGCGGAGGGAAAAAGAAAAAATAAAGAAGGAAAAGAGAAGAAAAAAGGAATAGCAAAAATATTCGAAAAAAAAATAAAAGTATTATTAAAAATTGTCCATATCTGCGTCGGCCATGAGAGAAGGAGATCGCTCATGAGAGAAAGGGAGTGAACAATGAGAAGAATTTTTATTTATGTTTTTATTCCAGAAATAGAGAAGTAGAAAATTTCGACCTCTCATTTCTATTCCCTAAGTTACTACTTAGGAAATACATATATAAAGCCAAGGGTCATGCAACGAATTTAAGAGCAAACATTGTCCCAGTTTTACTATACAGACATCATGATCCTGTAGACTCGACGTCTGATCAGCGTGTAACTTTCCTTACATCGATTCGTTGGAGGCAAGCGGCAGGGCTTCATACGATGCAGAAGGTACACGTCACAGAAGAACTGTACCAACTTCCATCGCCGTTGCCGACAATCTCTGGTTTACTCTAGTTTCAAGTAGTTTAAGGTACTGCTCCGAATCAACCTATGTCGAATAGGAGGTAATTGCGCCGAACACTTTTGTGGCCTATGCATGTACGATGTACTGGATTGCTTAACAGTCTCCTTTGCATATGTGGAACGAGGCAGGGGACGCATAGACCAAGAGCATCCCCATATTTCCGCCTGTGACATGAAAGCGATGGATGGCAACTAGGAGCTTGAACTAACATCATAGTTCTCGTTGATCGACCATCAAAGCAAACCATTAGTACATGAATCACGTGCTACCGACCACATAATCACATTCGAAACTGTTAGCCATGATTCATGTCCAGGTAGGGCAGGAGGGAAACTTTGTTTGGCATCTCAATGGGGAATTCACAGTACAAGTATCACTCCCATCTCATTTACCATAAGAATAGTCATTACACAGTGTAAGTCATCACTCATGTTATGGTTGTCGAGGACCAACACAAAGAGAAGATTTTAAAGACTGCATAAGGAGTTTGGTGACCGGATGGATTCTCAAAAATAAACCCAGAAAATCTTGTCATTTCTAATTTGAAGTACAATAACAAAGGGAGGTAAATGAAGATGACCTGAAGCACAAAAGTCTTCAGCAGCCGGTCAAAACTTTGTTGATACTACAAGTTTACTCGAAACTATCTAGCTCTTTAGCATCAAAAGAATTGATGTTGGTGTTGTAGGCCTTCACCTAAGTCGAGCACAAAATTTACAGGTTGATAATCTCCAACCAGATTATGATCTTCCCTGACCTAGCTCAAGAGAACAAAATTTGCAGGTTGATCTTTCCAACCAAAGTATCATCTTCCCTGATTGACTCCGAGATGTCTGAGAATTGAGGTTACATACGGTGACTATTGAGTATCGAGTCGTAACTTGTTTTCTTCCATCTGGATAGCAATCTGATCCAACATCGAACATATTTCTTCTTTTGAAGGATGCGAGTCATCTGCAATGGAGAAAGAATGCACCTTACTGTCAGTTTCTATCCAACTGACAGCTTGATCTTTCGTTACACATCTATCATGCATAAGTTTTCTAACTTCCTCTACCAATTTCCACTTCCCAAGTGATGCATAGACGCTTGAAAGAAATATGTAAGCTTCAGGAGAGCTCGGTTGCAGCTCAAGCAGGTGTTCGGCTGCTTCTTTTCCTAAAGCCAAATTGCAGTGTATCTTACACACACAGAGCAAGGCATTCCATATCTGCTCATCCGGTGGAAAAGGCATCATACGGATGCGGTTAATTACCTCGTCGAACAGACCAGCTCGCCCCAAGAGATCAATCATGCATGCATAATGTTCCTGATCTGGAGAAATTCCATGATCGTGTGTGATGGAATCAAACAACTGCAGTCCTTCCTTTGGAAGACCGGAATGACTGCAAGCATTGACAATGACAAGTAAAGTGATCTTATCTGGCTTAATGCCCAACCTGATCATGTCATCAAACATCTCTATCGCACCTTTACCCTGGCCATGCTGCGCTAAGGCAGATATCATTGTGTTCCACAAAACCACATTATTCTTATCTCCCACAAGATCAAAAACCAGCCTAGCAGAACTCAGAAGACCACATTTAGAATACATGTCAATGAGAGAACAGACAACTATTGTATTGGGCTTAAAGTAAGTCCTTATTAAGAAGCCATGGATTTGTTTACCCTGGTTCAATGAGGCCATGCTAGCACAAGCACACAGGCTGCTACTGAAAGTGAATTGGTCAGGTTTAAGGTGAAGTCTCATCATTTCTGAAAATGACTTAAGCGCGATATCACCCAAACCATTTCTAGCATATCCAGCAATTAAAGCAGTCCAAGAAACTGCGTTCTTTTCAGGCATCTGATCAAATATTCCCATAGCAGCCTCCATGTCGCCCCATTTGGCATATCCAGAGACCAATGTGGTCCAAGCAAGAATATCTTTCACTCGCATGCCATCAAATGCTCTCCGTGCGTCACTCATCTCCCCGCACTTTGCATACGCATCGACTACAGTGCTCACGATAACCGCATTGGATGAGTAGCCAGAAACCAAGACCTGCCCATGAATCTGCTTGCTAAGGCACAAATCTTTCAACTTCACACAAAGAGTCAAAATGCCTGCAAAACTAAACTCGCTGCACTCGATCCCCGACCTCCTCAACTCTCTATAAAGCCTCACTGCCTCATCACAACAACCACACCGCACATACCCCATCACCATGGTATTCCACGACACGACATCCCTCTCCGGCATTTTCTCAAACAGCCTCCTCGCCGAGTTCATCCTACCCAACCGGGCATACCCAGAGAGCATGTTGTTCCACGAGTACACGTTCCTCGCCGGCATTTCGTCGAACACCTTGCGCGCAGCCACCTCGTCATTGCATCTGAAGTACATTTCGATCAGACGGTTGGCCAAGAACGTGCCGGGCCGCTTCAGCCCAGTGAGCTTCAGGTGCAGGTGCACGTGCTTCCCTTGCTTGAGGGACCCGGCGGCGCCGCATTGGCGGATCAAGCGGGCGAGGACTTGGGAGGGCAAGCGAACGCCTCCGAGGGCCAGCCGGCGGAGGGAGCCGACGGCGTCGGCGTCGGCGAGTCGGCCTCGAGAGCAGAGGTCAAGGAGGGGGCGGGCGAGGCAGGGAAGGCCCGGGTCGTGGGCGGGTCGTTTTCTCGGGTTTGGACGGGACAGGAAGCGGCTGAGAGGCTTGGGAGGGGAGAGAGGGGGCATTGGGGAGAGGAACCATGAGAAGTGGAGAAGGGTGAGGATACTTCCTCATTTAGGTTCGTCGTCGTCGGCGGCGGCGGCGGCGGCGGCGGCGGGGGGTGGGGCGCGATTGGGTCCGGCGAGCATCGCCGCTGGAGAGGGACGACCGAGGGGATGATTTTGCGGTGCGGGGGTGGCGGCGGACTGCGGCGGTCATGGGCCCGCTGCAGGAAGGGGCAGTGGAATAAAATATAAATAATGACATAAATGGTTCTAGAATTTTAACTCGATGTAAAGTCCGGTTACTCAAGGTCAATGTGGCATCTAAATTTTTAATTTATTTAACGTGATTTGTGAACTTTTGATACATGCCCAATTTAGTCCATGAATTATATGAGAATGTTCAATGTTATCTTTCTATTTAATTCAAGTACAGAGACAATATTGAACATTTTCATATAGTTAAAGAATTAAATTGAACATGATACAGAGATAACATTGAACATTTTCATATAGTTAAGGGATTAAAGTGAATATGTTTCAAAAGTTCAATGACCATAAGGAACAATTTAAAAGTTTAAAGATCACATTGCACATTTGGTTAAAGTTTGGGACCACATTGAATAATTTAAAAGTTCATGGATCACATTACACAAGTTAAAATTTAGAGATCATTTGAGTCATTTTTCCAATAAAATACATAGTGACACTTGCAAGACACTTGCAAAATACAAGTGCTCATAAGGTCAGTTGATATGAGCGGTAAGATCACGCGGTTTCCCCCGGGCTCACATGATCAGTAGGCTCATATGAAACTAAAACATCTAGTAAATCTTCTAAAAACTGTGCACAAGGATAGAAGTAGGTTGAGCTCAAAAAGACTCTGTTGACAAAAAAACAAAAAAAAAAGTTATCCCCTATGCGTGCTCAAAACTTATTAGCTCTATTAAGGGATAATAACACAAATAATTTTTGAACTTTCGCTTAATGTGCAATGTTGTCCATAAATTTTCAATTTGTTCAATGTGATCTTTGAACTTTACCCAATGTACAATGTCCCTAAATTTTTTAGGGTTAATACCACGAAAAACCCTAAACTGGTACACTTGTGACACATTTACCCCAAACTATTTTTTTGATCATAAAAAACCCCAAACTGGTATACCTGTGACAATTTTACCCTGAACATACCACAAAAAACCTCAAACTGGTACACATGTGACAATTTTACCTCAACTAATTTTTAATATTATTTTTTATTTTTTTGAATTTTTTCTTTTTTCTTTTCTTTTCTTTTTTTTTTTCTTCACTTCAACCTCGGCCGGTCGCCGGTCCGTGACCGCCGCAGGCGGAAGCCGGCGAGGGTCGCCCTGGCAGCCGCCGGCGAGGGCCGCCCTCGGCGGCCCGGCGCGAGGCCGCCTCGCTCGACTCGGCAAGGGCGACCCTCGCCCGGATTTAGCGAGGCCGCCCTCGCCCGACTTCAGCGAGGGCCGTCCTCGCCCGCCCAAGCGAGGGCCGCCTCGCCGAAGCCGGCGAGGACAGCCTCTTCGCCTCTACGCAGGCGAGGGTCGCCCTCGCTTGAGTCGGGCGAGGGTCGCCTCGCCCGGGCGGGCGAGGACGCCCTCGCCCGCAGCCGCGACGAGGGCAACCTCGCCCGACGCAGCGAGGGTCGCCCTCGCTCGATACTGGCGAGGGTCGCCCTCGCCGGATCTGGCGAGGACGGCCCTCGCTCGACGCCGGCGAGGGCGGCCCTCACCCGACGCAGGCGAGGGCAGCCCTCACCCGATACCGGTGAGGGTCGCCCTTGCCGGATCTGGCGAGGACGGCCCTCGCCCGACGCCGGCGAGGGCGGCCCTCGCCGGCTTTCGCCTCTGGCCGGTCGCTGGACCGGCGACTTGCCAGAGGTTGAAGATAAAGAAAAAAAAATAAAAGGAAAAAAAATAAAAAAAATAAAAAATCGAAAAAAATAAAAAATAATATTAAAATTTTAATTCAGGGTAAAATTGTCACATATGTACCAGTTTGGGATTTTTTGTGGTAAGTTCAGGTAAAATTGTCACGATGTATAGCTTTTGATGGTCAAAAAAATAGTTCGGGTAAAATTGTCACGTGTACCGGTTTGGGGTTTTTTATGGTCAAAAAAATAGTTTTGGGTAAATGTGTCACAAGTGTACCAGTTTAGGGTTTTTCGTGGTATTAACCCAATTTTTTATTTGTTCAATATGATCCCTGAAATTTTGGTACATATTCAATTTAATTCCTGAATTATATAAAAATGTTCAATATTGCCCTTTCATTAATTTCAATTCAAGGATAATATTAAACATTTTCATATAATTCAATGACTAATTGAATATGTATAAAAAATCCAGGAACCAGATTGAAAAATTTAAAAGTTCATGGACGATATTGCATATTGGGATAAATTTCAGGAACCGCATTGAACAAATTAAAAGTTTAGGAGACTACATTGAATAAACTAAAAGTTCATAAGACCATATTATTCATTGGGCCAAATTCATTGATCATTTTTTTTTATTTTTCCTTAATTATATTAATAAGAGGGTTTGCGTTTTGTGGGGGCATCGTGTTGATTATATGCTTTTTTTTCTTTGGTTGGAGATACTGTACATATATGTATAGACTACCAGACTGTGTTTGGTCATCTGGATTTCTAGTCAGGACTGGACTGGATAGGATAAGATAAGATATGAAATCCAAGAGATTTGCTATATCCTATCAACTGTTTGATGAATTGTAGTAATAAAGTTGGATATTTTCATATCTTATCATGTCTATTATTTGCTATGAATGTCATATCAATGTAAATAGACCTAAAAATTGCACATATTGAGATGACAAAAATCTCTCATGACACTCTTACCTACTTCATTTTTATTTTCTTATTTTTTCTTATTTTTCCCTCTCTTTTTTAATTATTTTCTTTTTTTATTTCTTTTTTCCCCTCCATCATTCTCTAATAAATTTTATTAAATAGTAAACTATTATAATATACCTAAAATATGTAATAAATATGAATACTAAATGTATTTATTTATATATATGAAATTTATATCATAAGATAGAAAGAAATTTAAATATATAAATAAAAATAAGAACAAATAAAAAACAAATTATTTTATTTGTTTATTATTTTCAATTTTTTATATTAAAAATCAAATATTATTTATATTCAAACATTATTTTAATTTTATTAATTTAACAAGTTTGTTATTAGAGAAAAATAAATTTTATATTATGAATATTATAATTCTTATCTACCTTTATCCCATTTCCCCCATGAGATAATTTTATCCGGGCTATATCCCTCCTATATCTGACTTTATCATATCTTGGGTAGGCACCAAACACAAGATAGGATAAAATTTATCCTATCATGAATTTTATCCCGACTACCAAATATAGCCTCAGGGTTTTTAACCGATTAACGGTAGAAAATACCAGATAAAAAAAAACTTAGTTAGACCAAGCGTGAAAAATTTGGCTTGAAACTTTAAATTCAAAGTTCGCCAAATAAATGCATGTCAAATAAATTGGAAAAGAGGATTTTGAATGTTATTTAGCTTATTCAAAAATTTATTTTTGTTTTTTTCTCGGAGCATCCGGGTCTCCTTCTTTTAGCGCCGTATTCTTCGAACGTCACTTGCATTCAATTTTTTTGAATGGTTAAATTAAAACTCAAAATTATCTTTTTTCATCTAATACTTAAATTTTGTTTGCATTATAGCGTTTAAAAAAATCCATTATCTTTTTATGAATCAATTTCAAACTACGTTGACTTTACGCATGATTATATTCATTTCTATATTGTACTTATTAGGTTTGCTATAAAGGATATTTGGCTAAACACAGTAGACCATATTGGTTAGATTACTACAAAATATTTTTTGGCCGAAAATATTAAGTATTATTTCTTTAGGAAACGAGATGAAGAGCAAATACACGTGATTTTTATTAAGAGAGAGAGACTTATTACTAATTTCCGATAACAAGTCGCCCTAAACTCTAAATTCTAAACCCTAAATCACACTCTTTCTATTGGATATCCTATTCTTATTCATGATATCGAACATTTGGAAAGGTAGGTCTTGGGTGAACCCCGTCTTCAACATAGTTATTGGGAAGCTAATCATTGCTTGGACCTTTTGGCAAAACATTGAAGGGACCAACTTGAGAAGGATTGTCTACATATTGAAAATCGCGATATTCTTGTCTCGTGGTTTGACGAGCGTCCCAAAGCACTCTCGAACAAAATCCTTTTTTTTTTATTTTTTTCATATCGATTCATCGAGTGACAATTTAATTTTTTTTGAGTAATTTCTTTCGTCCTCTCTCTTGAGATGTTAAAATATTTAGTCGTAATAAATGGATAAAGGAAAATATATTCAATTAAACTATAAAAACATCATTATGTCCACCGTCGATGAAAACCATGTTTAACAAATGATGTCAGGACGTTCATATGTGTGAAAAAAAAAATCCTATGACCACTAATAGCCTATCCTTCATTGCAATTTGCAAAAGTTGCCAAAGTAGGTTATTTTTATGATGGCAGTTGCCCAATTGTCACTAAAAATGGGCCTAACCATATCAAATTTTATTCTATTTTGGAATTGCCACTAAATAAATCCCACTAAAACCCAACCCTTTCGAGCTAGGGTAACTTGATTTCGACGGTGAAGTTAACTCATAGCTACATGAGAGAAATCATGTCGAAGGTCAACACGACCTACCCATAAGTTTTCCGGGTCAAATCACTCGATTAGCAATACCCCTATTGACTTGTCTCGACTCAATTACACGTCTTCGCCCACTTTAAATTTAGCAACACAACGACAAGACGCGGTCTCTCCGGCCTCCAATCCATCCCATTCCACGTGACATGGGTGGAAAAAAAGGAGACCAAAAGAAAACCAACCAAACAAGAACACAGAGGCATGCGAATCGGGAACGATCCAAATGCTCATACTTCCATCTAAACATCTTCACGTGGGGCGATGATGGTCCTTTTCGCAAAATCATTTCTCCAAGACAAGGCTGAAGCAACCAAGAATGATGATGAACCCACATGGGTGGGTGGACGTGGGGGCCGATGGGCGGTGGTGCTCCGCCTGGGAAACTCCATTAGCGCCGCTCCAAGCTCGCCACCCATCAAGAACGTCCTCTCAAATGTGGAGGGGGCCAAGTTGGGTTTCCATCGATTTCCTAGATCTTTTGCGTTTGGATGCGTAGTGGTTTGGTGGTTTCGAGACTGGTCAGAGGAGCGTCCATGCGACGACAATTGCTTCTCATCTTGTGCATGAAGTTAAGGAGCACAACGCCAATGGCTGCTGTCTCTCTCTCTCTCTCTCTCTCTCTCTTTGGAAGAGATGGTGAAGAGATTTTTCTGAGGTGAGATCGGCTCTAGGAAGGTGGCATTGGTCCTTGCTAAATTTCTAATGCAAGGTGGGTCTCTTTGCATAAACTATGGGTTCTTGAAGCGTCTTCTTCGGAACGCATGACTTCCAAGAATCTAGCATGCTTCGCGATGACATGAAAGTCAAAAACACACATGTATCAATCTCTCCCTATCTTGTGGTGTCGCCAGGAACGCGATATGAGGAACCTTGAAACAGTTGTGCTCGAGTCGTAAACTACTCGTACTCAACCCGACTGAGCACGACTTTTGAAAATGCTTGATTATGATGGAGCTCAAGAGCGTGCTCATAGCTTGGCATATACTTATGGGTCTAATACCCTAAAAAACCTAGACTTTAGGTTTAATCCCGATTATATCCTGAATTTTTTTTTTGTCCCGTAAAAAACCCCCAACTTTAGGTATACTCCAATTTTACCCAAAACTTTTTTTTTTGGCTCATCAAGAACCACCAACTTTTACTTAAGTCCCAACCGGTTAAATTTCTCTTGACAATCGCGAAATGGAAAACTCCAAAGCGCAAGCTGTTCAAGAATCTCGAGCCTAGTGTCTCGAGTGCAAGCCTTCCAACTGGGAGGGATGGAAGACTCCCGAGCACAAGATATTGAATGTTAACGGAGGAAAATATGAGACTCAAGTAAAAGTTGGTGGTACGAGATAAAAAAAGTTCGAGATAAAAAAAGTTCAAGATAAAATTGGGACTAGACCTAAAATTTATGATTTTTACGAGACAAAAAAAGTTTAAGATATAATTGGGATTGGATTAAAATTGATGATTTTATGATATTAAGCCCTTATGTATGAACATACGAATACATCTTCTTCGAATTAATTGCACCATCTAAACTCGTATTCCGGTTCCAATTGAATTCGAGCTACACTCGAATTTAGTGTAATTCCTAATTACGTCCAATGCTATTAAAACACTTTTCCCAAATCGACATTGAAGTGGAACCACCAATCGAGTTTTAATCATAAATTGCATCCATTCAATTCGGCTTGATTGCACCCCTCTTACGAGCGGGTGACTTTAATGTGACTCTACGGTCCCCAATAGGGGTGCGCAAAACGGACTGCCCAAACTAGGAACCGCTCGGACCGAACTAGACCAGCGGGTTTGGTCCAGCTCCCGGAAGTGTCGGTCCGGTGCTCGATTCCTAAGAGTGGAACCGTTGTCCGGGTGGTCCGGTTCCTAGAAAACGAACGGACTACATATACTTTTTTTCTTTTTATTTCTTCAAAAAAAAAATCAGTAAAAATGTGAACGAAACCCAAAGCAAAGTACGTTTTCTGTTCGTCTTTTCAATTCGAGGATCGATCGTTCTAGGTCGCAAAATAATCATCATCTCTCGCGAACCGGTGGATTTAGTTTATTATTTTCGATCTGCAATTTATAAATCTGATATTTAATTCTTTGTTTATCGTATAAAATATATACGAGCGCACAGCCATAGCCCTTTTACTCAAATCTTTTTTCCGAAAAAAGAAAAAAAGGAAGCTTCGGGGTCGTCCACGTCAGCACTGATGACCCTGGCGCCCTGCCCTGCCCTTCCCTTCCCTTCCCTTCCCTTCCGCGATGATACCGATGCCAAGCGCCTCCGCGCCGTCGGATCGATCCCGGGGGGGGGGGGGGGGCGGGTCTCAGCCGTCGATGGCCCCCTCCTTATCTGGTGACGAAATCGGCCAAAGAGAGAAAGAGAGAGTTCGACGAAGGAATAGGAGGAAGGACGGGAGGAGAAGAGGAGGAGATCCCTAAATTTCCCCCAAATTCTTCCCCATTTTCATCTCCCTCACACCACTGGAAAACCCAACAGAGCCCCCCCCCCACACACGCACACACACAGTAACCCCCCTTTTCTCTCTCTCTCTCTCTCTAGAATCGTCACAGAGCCAGCAGCAGCAGCGGCGGCAGCAGCAGGAGGTGAGCCTTCTCCGCAATCCGATTGCCCTCGCTCGCTGATAAGCCCTTAGCGAAGGGGACCCGCCATCTCCTCTCGCGCCCCCAACGCGATTTGAAGGTTAGATACGGCTGCCGCGGGATGCGTTCCCCGCGCTTTCCTCCTCCTCTTCTTCTTTTTGGTTTTGTGAATCGGGGGTTTCTTGATTGGTGGAGTGGATTGGTTTTCGTTTTGATCGATTGCGCGTTTTCCTGAGATGGGTTTTTTTTTGTTTCTTTTCTTCTGCTTTTGCTTTTCGGGTGTTGTTGAATCTAGGGTTTTTTAGGAGGGCGAGGCCTGACGGCGGGGGGGAGGAGGAGGAGGGGGGGATCGGCAATGGAATATGCTGACCGAGATGCCGATGGCCCGCGGATGGGAGGGCAGGTCGGTGGGGAGGCCGGGGTTTCGGAGGAGAGGGTCGGCTCGGCGGGGAATGATTCGAAGGTCGGTGATGGGGAGGAGGTTTTCGAGGAGGCGGTGGATGCCCGCGACGGCGGCTCGGGAGGGGAAGGACTGGAGCCGGCGGGTCCGGGCGGTGTCGGCGTACCCGGTCCTGATGCGGACGATGTCGCGGGTGGAGATCGGAGCGGCGGTGTTTTCGATGAGGTCGCTGGCGCGGGGCATGAGGTCGAAGAGTTCGAGGAGGCAATTGGCACGCCGGCGAAAATCGAGATACCCGAGGAGATAGTCGAGGAGGAGAAGGTAGGAGGTTTGGTGGGCGGGGAGAGCATCGGTGGTGCTCTTAAGGCAGATGGGGTTGATGAGGGAGGGACTCGTGAGAAAGTGCCAGTCGAAGAAGAAGATGATGGATTGATGAGTAACGGGGAGGATGCCGTGAGGGAAGTAGCTGGGCTTCATGTGGATGGAGAGATGCGCAGTGAGGCAGATGAGTCCACTCCGACGCGTGGTGCAGTTCTCGGAAAGCTTGACAACGGGACCGAAGATGAATTGGAGAATGGGAATGTCAGTGTGGAAGGACTGCTTGACGCTGATCAGAAGGGAACTTCTAGTGAGGAGGTTCTGTATGCAAATGATCAGCGTGAAGAATTAGTAGACACTGATTTGGCAGCTGAAGGCAAACTTACCGTTGACAGGGATCTGGAAGTTGCTCCAGCTGCTAATCATCCAGATGATCTGGATGAAGGGAATGCTACTTTGGCTTCAGAAAACGAAGGTCCTGTAAACGTGGAACCCAAAAGTGTGACAGCTAGCTTTGACTCACTCTATGATGATGCTGATGGAGAAGTGAAAAAGTCTTCTTCCGGTATTGATACAGAATATCAGAGTGACATCAACAAGGAGGTGAAAGATGCTACTAATGGACCAGATTCATTTCAGGGGGAAATCTCTGAGCAGGACCCAACTTCAACTGACAAGCCTTCGTCTACCTCAGATGAGTCAATTACTCGTGAGTGTAAGATCTTGAATACTTCAAAGGAGCTTAAGTCCGGGAAGGATGAGCAAATTACAAGTGGAACAATTGAAATTAACAAAGGGGATGTGGCTTCTCCTACTCAGCATCCTGTTGAAAAGGTCCAGGAAAATCATCACAATCACACTTCAGCGGAGAAGCGTGAAAAGAAGGATTCAGACAGTGTGGATGATCGTAAGAAAGTAATCAGGGAAAATGGTATGCCGGCTGCCGAAGTTGCATCGTCTGGAAGATCAATGAATCATGCTTCGGTACCTGCTCGCCCTGCTGGCCTTGGCCGTGCTGCTCCTTTGCTGGACCCTGCACCTCGAATGTCTCAGCAACCGCGTGTTAATGGAGCTGTATCTCATGCGCAAGCTCAGCAGATTGAGGAGCCTGCTAATGGGGAGTCTGAGGAACATGATGAGACCCGTGAAAAACTCCAGATGATACGTGTTAAATTCTTGCGTCTTGCACATCGACTCGGGCAGACTCCCCATAATGTCGTCGTGGCGCAGGTCCTGTACAGGCTGGGATTAGCGGAGCAGATTAGGGGAAGAAATGGGGGCCGTGTTGGTGCCTTCAGTTTTGATCGCGCAAGTGCCATGGCAGAGCAGCTTGAGGCATCTGGGCAGGAACCACTTGATTTCTCTTGCACTATTATGGTCTTGGGGAAGACAGGTGTGGGGAAAAGTGCGACAATCAACTCAATATTTGATGAAGTGAAGTTCAGCACTGATGCTTTTGACACTGGCACTAAGAAAGTTCAAGATGTCGTCGGAACTGTTCAGGGGATTAAGGTGCGAATCATTGACACGCCAGGCCTTCTGCCTTCTTTGACGGATCAACGCCAAAACGAGAAGATCCTTCATTCTATTAAGCGATTCATTAAGAAGACTCCACCTGATATTGTGCTGTATCTTGACCGCTTGGACATGCAAAGCAGGGATCTTGGTGATATGCCGCTTTTGCGCACGATTACTGAGATATTTGGACCCTCTATATGGTTTAATGCAATTGTGGTTCTAACACATGCAGCATCAGCCCCACCTGATGGGCCAAATGGTACTGCTTCTAGTTATGACATGTTTGTCACTCAGCGATCGCATGTCGTGCAGCAAGCGATTCGTCAGGCAGCTGGTGATATGCGGCTTATGAATCCTGTTTCTTTGGTGGAAAACCACTCGGCATGCAGGACGAATAGAGCTGGACAGAGAGTGTTGCCGAATGGTCAGGTTTGGAAGCCTCATCTGTTACTGCTTTCCTTTGCTTCAAAAATTTTAGCCGAGGCTAACGCACTTCTGAAGCTGCAAGATAGTCCACCTGGGAAGCCTTTTGCATCTAGGTCAAGAGCCCCTCCTTTGCCTTTCCTTCTTTCAACTCTTCTCCAACCGAGGCCACAGCCAAAGCTGCCTGAGGAGCAGTATGGTGATGATGATGGCATGGACGATGACTTGGACGAGTCATCTGATTCTGATGATGAATCAGAATACGACGAATTGCCGCCGTTTAAGCGATTGACAAAGGCCCAGGTGTCAAAGCTTACTAGGGCTCAGAAGAAGGCATATTTTGATGAGTTAGAATATAGGGAGAAACTTTTTATGAAGAAACAGTTGAAAGAGGAGAGAAGGCGACGGAGGATGATGAAGAAGATGGCGGCTGCAGCCAAGGGTCAGCCAAGTGAATATGTTGAAAATGCAGAAGAAGAAAGTGGCGGGGCAGCATCTGTACCGGTACCCATGCCAGATTTGGCCTTACCAGCATCTTTTGATTCTGATAATCCTACTCACCGGTATCGTTACCTTGATAACTCTACCCAGTGGCTCGTAAGGCCTGTTCTTGATACTCATGGTTGGGATCATGATGTTGGTTACGAAGGCATTAATCTAGAGCGATTGTTTGTCGTTAAAGACAAGATACCTATCTCTTTTTCTGGCCAGGTCTCAAAAGATAAGAAGGATGCGAATGTCCAAATGGAGGTAGCTAGTTCCCTAAAACATGGGGAGGGAAAATCAACTTCACTAGGACTCGATATGCAGACTGTTGGGAAGGACCTGGCTTATACTCTTCGCAGTGAGACTAGGTTTAGTAATTTCAGGAAGAATAAGGCGACTGCTGGATTGTCCTTTACTCTCTTGAATGATGCTTTAACGGCCGGATTGAAAGTTGAGGACAAATTGATCGTCAATAAATGGTTGCGTGTAGTTATGACTGGTGGTGCTATAACTGCTCGTGGTGATGTTGCTTATGGAGGCAGCTTAGATGCCACCTTGAGAGATAAAGATTACCCTTTGGGCCGTTCTCTGTTCACTCTTGGCCTTTCCATCATGGATTGGCACGGGGATCTTGCTGTCGGTGGCAATGTACAATCTCAGTTGCCCATCGGACGGTTTACAAATCTGATCGCTCGTGCAAATTTGAATAACAGAGGGGCGGGACAGGTCAGCATTCGGGTAAATAGCTCCGAACAGCTTCAAATTGCTCTGCTTGGCCTCATTCCACTATTCAAGAAGTTGCTGGATTTTCCTCAACAATGGCAGCTTGGACAATGATGAAAAATAGTTCCTACTTACTGCATGATGCATGCAGTGACAGAAAATAACTTGAATATGGTTTTTGTTGTTGTTGTTGGACCAGGCAAGTTCCATCTTGACATGTGGATCATAGTATTCTAGGTTTTTGTCATTAGAAGTTTGGCATATGATGAGTTTTTGTTCCCTTGAAGCTACTGGACACAATCACTCCCTCTTCTTTAATGGTGTTTCAGTTAGAGTCATGCTCTTGAAATGACCTTCATGTTGAGGAACCCTGATGTTCTTTCTTTTCTTCCCCCTGAAAATATATTTCTGCTTCACCTTTTGATACACCTTTCTCTCTTTGCCTGAAATCAAGCTTCTCTACAGCTCTTTCTGTTATTTGGATGACATGGTATGAGGTGATTAGAATCTCCTTACTGCGATTAAAAAGGCTGGAGAGTTTTGAAAGCTCTTGGTGTTTCTCTGGTTGTTTAGATGTTTGATTCCTGGCATCATAGATTCGTCGAAGCATGAGCAAGCCAAAGATAATATCGATAGCATTAGATTCTGTTGCTTGTAGAATGATGTATTGTAGCAGAGTAGGTTATCTCTTGTTCATTTTTGTTTCACATGCAAATGGGGCTACTGCTGAAGCATTTCGATCAGTGTTCGTAGTAGCTCTCTCGTTCTTAATTGAACGGTTCATTGTGACAAGTTTTTTAACATGAAGTATGGTTTGAAGTTGGTGGTACGATGAGATTTGCTGTGTTGTGCTGTACGAGAAGATGTTTCGCAACTGGTCTAGGACTGCTGCATTTGTTGAAAGCTTGGTGAGGAATGTTAGCTACTGAATCATGCACCAAATTTCTCTAGTCATGAAGGTGAAACTTTACTGGCGCCGCCTACTAAAAATGATCTAAATGCTGTTGCGTGTAGAGAATGGAGAAGAGGAGATGATGAAGTCACCATATTTCCCTTTTTCTCTGGCCTATTTCTGAATAGATCTTTTTAAGTTGTCTCGTGCTATTAGTATATGAGACTTTGTCAAAGCAGATCTTTCGACTAATACAAGGTAGGGTGTTAGCTTAACCTTCAGCTGTATGTCGTGGAATTAGGAAGCCTTTTTAAGGGTCTTCTTGACATCTCAGTTATAATCCTAGAAAGAGATTCAACTACTTAATTTGTGAGACCATATCGACCTGTTTATATCCCACCCACCTTTGCCTTCTTTCGAAAATTTCCCTCATTTGCACGCCATTCTTCTCGAGTTTATTGGTTTCTTGTTGAATCTGTGACATCGAATGTGAAATGTCTACAGCACTGAGAGCCTTTCGACCTCATCCATCTTTCCAAGAGCCTAGTTGCAGCCAAAATTTTTCGCCCTTTTGGGCTTGAGTCCACCTCGCTCAGCATAGAAAGTAGGGGGTTCAATGAAGGAACAATGCCGAGGGAGGAATGCCTGACCCAAAGCAGCATGGCGCCCGTGGCAGGCCTCAGCGCAAACACCCGAACCAGCTCGGCCTCGAAGGTCAATGACTACAATTGTGCCGCTAAAGCACCACCTCCTAGGTTAACCTGGCTCCTCTTTAGTTGGGCATGCCTTGCTATTGAGACATTGCGGAACCATGTAGCCCGTGAGGTTTCACCTACCCTACTTGGGGAGCACACCAGAGGTGGGCATCAAAGGGAAAGAATAATTACCCAAAAAGGTAAGTCCAATGTTTCTACCAGATTGGCTTTCTCACCAGGATAGATTTTCTCTTTATTCCTCGTTAACCATTGGAGGTTCCTCTTGAGGCCAAGCACATGAGGCTTCCTTTGCTTGTGGTGTGCTATTCGATCCAATCCACGAGCGTTAAGCCAAGTCCACGGGAGACTGGGAAAAATTGTGCATCAACACCAATGATAAACTTACACTTTGTAACTAGGGGTGAGCAATGGTCCTAGTCAACCTGGGAACCAGCCTTGCCAATCCTGTTCGAGGCTGGTTCACTTCTCGGAAGATACGTTCATGGGTTGAAACCTGGGAACCGATTAGAGTCGGTTCAGTTTCAAGGTTGAACCTAGAACCCATTGATTTTACCTAACAATTGAACCAAACGAGCTAGTTCCCTAGTAGAACCGATTTGATCCGACTTTGAATTGGGCGACTGGTATTGATACGTGTGCAAGGTGAGGAATGTGTTTTGAGTGATAACAACAGGATAAATGATAAATGACGATCACCACCAAGGAATAAAGGATATGCCACCAACCAATGATAAAGATGGAGATAGACGAAGTTCACCACCAAGGCTCGAAGGACAAGCCACCGATAGGAGAAATTCACCACCAAAGCCTTAAAAGAAACCCACTAGCCAAGGATAATGGACTTCTTGGTTCACCACCAAAGAAAAATCCGCCCACCAAAGATAAAGAATCTAGATAGAATTTCACTCACTTGAGAAAAATCTCATATATTCATCAATATTCAAGTAACTTACAAATGAGATTACACCTCTATTTATAGTGTGATTTTACTAAACAAAAGAAAAGACTCTCGGAATTCTAGAAATAGAAATGACTCTTGGAATATTCACATTATGAAGACTCTCAAAAGCAATACCACAATGAAGACTCATAAAATCTAGGGCTTAAGACTCATAAAACTAAGAATTTAGACATTTAATAATTTAGGACTAAATGCATCAAAATAGGAATAGATGCATTTGTAACTAGGATAAGACTCTCCAAATTCTTGCACCAGCCTTGGAAGCCGAATAACCACCTTCTAGATAAACAAATTGTGTATGATATCAATCAGATCAGCCTCCAATTGCTACTTAGTCAATTGGGAGTCTCAAAGTCGACAATAAACTTGTAAATTGACATATTGTAGTCAATCAGCAACCATGAAATCAATAGCTATTCTTGCGAATCGACAATTAACTCGTAGAATCGATATCTTCAGATTTGGATCCATCGAATCAAACTATAGCTGAAATTGGTCTTTACTTGCAAAACTAAGGATTGTTTTGGATTAGTCGGCAAAGTCTGAGTTGAGCTTGAGAGTTGATTAATAGAACCGATTTTGACCTGGGCATCAACTTTTGTTAAAAGAATTATAAACAACAAGTTAACAACTTAAAATATAAAAAAAGCACACGATCACATATGCACATCATTACCCAACCACTTCTCTCTCTCTCTCTCTCTCATTTTAAATTGAAAAATTAGAAAAATAAACTAAGATTACATTACTTATATTAGAAATCAAAACCCAAGCTCTCTCTCCCACACAGGAAAAACAAAGCGGGGCTGGTTCCTGGGACTGGAGGTAGGGCCGGTTTGGTGCTTGGTTCCGTTCCTAGTTTCAAGGTTAGCACCAGACCACCCGGACTATGTTCATCACTAGTTGTAGACCTCTTCATTTATTTTAGGGAAAATGATATAAATGGTCTCTAAACTTTGGCCTAATGTTCAATGTGGTCTTTGAACTATTAATTTGTTCAATATGGTCCATGAACTTTACCCCTATGTGTAACCTGGTTTATGAACTTTTCATACATGTTAAATTTAGCCCCTGAACTATATGAAAATTGTTAATGTTGTCCATGAACTTGAATTAATGGAATGACAATATCGAACATTTTCATATAATCTAAGGACTAACTTGAACAGGTACCAAAAAGTCTAGGGATCACATTGAATAAATTAAAAGTCAGGAACGACATTGCACATTGGGTTAAAGTTCAGGAACCATATTGAACAAATTAAAAGTTCAGGGATCACATTGCATATTGAGTTAAAGTTTAAGGACTATTTGTGTCATTATCTCTTTAGTTTAAATAGTTAACACCAAACCAGAACAGTAGACTATGAGCTCTGTTTCACTTTATGTGACCCATTACATGTGATTACAACAATGGCAAATTATCTTTATATGTTCGTGCAATTTGTAGCTATATTCACCGTTATGGAGAAAATGCGAGTTGGTTATGCTTAATTTCATTAACAATAGCTATTGCTTAATATTTGTCATTAGATTTGCTTTAAGTGAGAGATAATGAAACAAATGGTCCCTAAACTTTGGTCCAATGTGGTCGTTGAACTTTTGATTTGTCCAATGTGATCCCTGAACCTTAGCCAAATATGCAATGTGTCCCGAACTTTTAATTAGTTTAATGTGGTCGATGGACTTTTAGTACATATTTAATTTAGTCCTTGATCAATATGAATATATCCAATGTTGTCCCTGAACTTGAATTAATGGAAGGACAACATTGAACATTTTCATATAGTTCAGGGACTAAATTGAACATGTACAAAAAATCTAGGGATGTGGCATCCTGAAATTTCATGGCCAAAGATTAAAGGACCCTAATGGATTAGGGCGCTCGTCGACGGAAATTAGGAAAATGAAATTGGAAGATTAGCGTTGTGATTATCGTTTTTTTTGGAATCACGAGTTTGGATTCTTGGGAACAATTACCGTCGAGCCGACTAAACCGACGTCGCGTCGTCCGCGCGACCCGACTCCGTGTCAAACCCGTTGCCGTTATTTTTCTCCCCATTTTTTTCCCTTGCTCACGGACGGCCCCCTCTTTTCCTCTTTTTCCTTCCTTTTCTTTTTCTTTCCCCTTTTTCCCGCCAGAAACCCCACGCAGCAGCAACCCCATCATTTCTCTTCTTTGTCTTCTTCTTCCCCCTCTACATTTGGCAAGAGGGAGGTGCCAAGTGTCACCCATGCATGCAAGGGAAGTTGAAGGGCCATCAGATAATTTTTTTCCCCCACAGTTCACTCTCACCAGCTCTCTCTCGCTCAGCCTTTTCCCCCACAGCTCACTCTCTCAGCTCTCTCTCGCCCAGCTCACCCACTCTCTCGTCTCTCTCTGTGTTCGCCGGGAACCAGCCACTCCGCGCGACCAGCAGCAGCAGCCGGTCATCTCGTCCCCGCACGCCAGCAACAACCAGCCTCTTGCCCTGTCCAGCCACGCCCTCAACCGACCAGCAGCAGCTTAGGAATCGCCCCTCGCGCCCTCGTCTCCGCCTCGGACTAGCAGCCTCGCCGCGACCACCACTCTCACCGGCAAGTGCTCTCTATCACATTATACTAACCTCGATAATGGTTGCATGTCGATTTGAGTCTCGGATAAATCTGTGAGTTGGCTGGATTGGTAGTAGGAGAAATCGAGACGCTATAGCTGCTGCCCTTAAATGTTTGACTCCGTAGAACAAGCTTTGGTGAGTCTAGATTACTAGGTTAGGTTAGAAAAGGCATTGCATGTTGATTTGAGTTCCTGGCGTGGTGATTCCTTGGCTGTGAAGCGGTGGAGCTCGAGCGGGAAGCATTTCTTGAAGTTTTGTCT